GGCTATTTTTTGGTTGCAGCCATCATTGTTGTTTGGCGGGTCCGGGCTGGGGATTCAAACCCGCCACCTTAGGTGTACGTGGCTGGCGCCTTAGCCGGTTGAGCTATAGGCAAACATCTGTTGAAATGTGGAGCCAGACAATCTCTGAATTCATGTTTTGGCATCACTTTGTGATCCTGAACAAAATACCTAACCTCTCTGAACTTTGGTTTTCTTGCCACTCAAATAAGCATCATAAACTTAAATTAAAACAAAAGCTAAATTAAACACCCATTAAAATGTGTTGACTATTGGCTTGTTACCTGTAGCATAATTATTAGGGCGCTGGCCACATATACCAAGGCTGGTGGGTTTGAACCTGGCCCAGGCTAGCAAAGCAACAATGACAACTGCAACAGGAAAATAGCTGGGCATTCTGGTGGGCACCTGTAGTCACAGCTACTTGGGAAGCTGAGGTAAGAGAATCACTTAAGCCCAAGAGTTGGAGGTTGCTGTGAGCTGTGATGCCATGGCACTCTACCTTGGGTGACATAGTGAGACTCTGTCTCAAAAAAAAAAAAGAAAAAGTATTGACTATTAAAGAAGACAACAAAAATCGAGTCTAACACACAGAGATTTTCAGATAAGCAAGTTCTCAGCCAATGGTAGTTCCTTTCTGCCTTCCCTGGTTGACAATTCAGTGGCCTTCAGGAGCCCTTGCAGCCATAACCACTGTGGTCATTCCTGGGATTCTTCACTAGCCCCTTCTCTCATGGGAATTTAGTCTTGTGTGGACAAATTTTGGGTGTTTGAGACCAGTTCTGATTGAGATTCAAACTTGCCTCAATTAGCTCCATCTGCAGCATGTTGTCAGAAACGGTCCCTGCAATGTCCTGGTGACCTGTTTGTTTTCTTGTCAACACTGCTTTGTCTTATCATCAAGCTCAGTTGCTGATTTCCAGATTCACTGATATCCTTGCTCACTATCCTCACTACCCACCTTGAAGTGGCTGCCTATGCCAGAAAAGTTTTGTTCTTCACGTCCCCTTCCAAACCTGAAATAGATTAGAAATCAATTTGAGGCACTTCCCCTAAGACTCATTTGAATGCTCAAGTTCAGAGCCAGTGGAGACCTTAGGGGAGGCTGGTCCCAAGGTTTTCATACCATTATTGTAGCGGCCCTGGAAAGCCATGGAGGGGTCGGGGCTGGGGTCCTTGTGTACTTTCATTACCATGATGCCCCATCTCTGCCTTCTTTCTCTTTGTACTTTCAACTTTGGATATCTTTGACATTGACTGTGTAGCGCTGTCTAGCTCTAAGGACATTCTGACTTACACATATAAATAGAACCTCCCACGTTCAAGTGACTTCTCTGCTGGATTAGTGATCTTACTCATAAACCTGCTACTCCATGTTTCCCACTCTGTTCTTATTTGCTTCAAAAATTCTCTTACCATTTCAATTTTCATACACCATCGTACTTACCCGAAGGCTCTGGGGTAAGTATAGATAACCTAGGCCTTAATGTTCCTTTTATATTAATAACTTTCTAAGGCTCACTATTTTCTGATAATAATGGTCCTTGATCTTAAATCATGTTTGAACCACAGTTTCAAATCAAGCTTTGAGATTTTATGTCAAATATTTGAAAGGACACACAAACACGTGAGTGCATATGTGTATGTGTGGCTATATGCATGCAGTCATATATCACTTAATGACAGGGATGCATTCTAAGAAATTCATCATTAGGCAATTTTGTCACTGTGAGAACATCACAGAGTGAACTTACACAAATCCAGATGGCACAAACTACAAAACACCTCAGCTATGTGGCATAGCCTGTCGCTCCCAGGCTACACACCTATGCAGCATTTTACTGTACTGGAGGTAATTGTAACACAATGGTATTTGTGTATCCAGACATATCTAAAAATAGAAAAGATGCAGTAAAAATACAGTATCATAATCTTATCTTCTAATACTGCTACTGCCATATATGTGGTTCATCTTAATGGAAATGCTCTCACGAGACACATGACTATGTATATTCTTTCTTGGTACAAAACAGTGTCTTTCAATTCACAGTAATTACTGCACTCGATGGGCCTGGAGTCATAGTTTGTGTTGATTAAGGATTACCATTGCTTGGGTCCTTCCCAGGCATAGTTAGAAATCACTGATGTGAATTAAGAAAATTTATCCCTAGGTTTTTTTTTGGTTTTTTTTTTTGTAGTTTTTTGACTGAGGCTGGGTTTGATCCTGCCACCCTCGACATATGGGGCCGATACCCTACTCCTTGAGCCACAGGCACCACCCTATCCCCAATTTGTAAAGTGTAAGTTGTAATCACGAGGTGCCTGCATGACTCTCCCTTCCTTTGCTTCCTTTCTTGTGATTATTAATGATTACTTGGGGCATCTTGCTTTCAATAACTCGAGTTAAGTTTATGAATTATGCTGTCAACTTGATTTATGATTTTTGATTGAATAAAGAGATCTATGGGAGAACAGCCCAGGGCTGCACTTGCTGGCTGCACTTGAGATGCTGCTGGCTTGGTGTCCGCCTCTCACAGGCATATGACAGTCACATGTCTTATCAAAGCTCCGGGAGGTAGGCTGGAGCCTGGCTTTAAACCCAGGGGCTCTGCCCATCAGCTCCCAGCTCCTACCCCCATACAGGCTGCCTCCGCAGCGCTGGGACCATGTGATGTGTTGGTTAAGCATAGTCTGGTTCATTTTCTGTTCCCCTCATTAGAAGGTAAGCTCTCAGTGGGCAGGAAGTTGTGTCTGTTTCATTCATTGCCACATCCCTAGCTCCAAAGCAAGTCCTAGTACAGACTAGGGGTTCAGCAAATATTTGTTAAATGAATTAATAAAATTAAGTCAACTAAATAATGAATAGCATATAAAATCTATGAGGGAGAGTCTTTGTCTTGTTTGCTGTAAAACCCTGGGGCCCAGAAGAGAAGCTGGCCTAGGGCTGGCCCTCCTGTAGGTCTTCTTGAAGGAACCAACACAAAGGCACAGAGGAAATCGCAGCAGAGGCAGGAGGGGCCCTGGAGAGTGCACGGCTGAGGAATCAAATGTGGACAAAGCGAGAAGGGGGGTCAGCACCAAAATCTGCCAGGAGGTCAAGGCAAACATGCACTAAAGGTGAGCCACTGCCAAGCCTTGGTTGGGACAGCTGGGCGGGCGTCTGCCAGGGAGCTCAGAGGGGAGGAGGGAGAGGGCAGCTGCTGTCCACGGACTAGAGCTTTTTGATCTGTCAAATACAAAGTGTAATGTGCTGCCATCAAAGGGTTAAGGAAGTTAGACAAGATAAAGCAAGCGCAGTAATACAGCACTTCCTGCAATTAATGACAAGAACTACAATAAAAGTAATGACGGTGATGATGAGTTTGGAATGAAGAGAAGGAGAATCATTATCTCAGACCTTGAGGGGTAGGTGGGTCAGGAAAGCCTTTTCTGAATGTCAGAGTGTGGCTGGAGGCAGAGATTCTGGGGAGAGGAGGATTAATACGGGGCAGGTGGGGGGAGCCATCCGTGTCCACAGGAAGCCGGCAGGGTGGGTCTCAGGGAGGAAGAAGAGGAGGGAGCCACTTCCTCACAAAGAGGGGAGCAAAGGGCGGGGC